AAGACATTAAACCCTGGACTCTGGTTGATGTTCAATATTAAAGATGCTGCCCAGGCGCTGCTAGCTGAGCTGGCAGCTCATGTACTGAAGATCCTGCACTGGCCTGGGTCTGAGACTGCCCGAGACCATTTCCAAATCTTTCTTCTTCTTTTGGCTGCTTTCTTTAGGGGTCATCACAGCAGATCACCCTGTCTCTAGCACCCTCCTCTGTCACACAATCCTCCTTCACTGTATCCATTAATATTCTTTTCTGTGGTCTGTCCCTTTTCCTCATGCCTGGCAGCTCTATCTTCAACATTTTTGTCCAATATATCCATTATCCCTCCTGCACATGTCTGAACCATCTTAGTGCTTCCCTAACTTTGTCCTATCAAATAAAGGCTAAAAAAAAAAATAAAAGACCCAGATACTAAACATTTCACCTTTGAAACTCCAGGCGATTTTTATGTTGCATGAAGGATGAACACAGTCATCTTGGAGATGTTTACACAAAACAAACTGTGTAATACCCTAAATGAGACTCCTGTTGTGATAAATCGCATCTGCCTGGCATTCATCTCAAAAGTTTTTGTTTAAATATTGAATTTGGCAGCATTCCTATAAGTGCAAATCCAAGCACCAGTGACTACTCAACGCTCAAGACAATGTTTGCAATTTCAGATGTGCTGCAGGGTATTTCAGGAATGGTCTCCATGGTGAGACTTAAAAAAAATATTGAGTTGATATTTTACAAAAGTTACATCATGCTGAAAAGGGCAGATGAGGAACGCTGGAAGTGAGACACAGGGAAAACCATCAAGAATCTGGTAAATTTTCCAAAATAAAAGACTCAGATTCAAAACACTTCAAGTGTCATTTGAAACTGTAGAAATTATGTAAAAGAGAAAAAGAACATGTAAAAGACGTGATGTCCACAACCGGTGTGTTTCCAGGGTGACTATAAGTAGGACTCCTATTTAAATTAATTGCATCTGCCTAATGTTCATCATAGAAAATTGTATTGTAGCACAGAGACCTTAATTTTGGTTAAAGAGCAACTTATGTCATACGTGTACACAGCATCTATCTTATCTGTGGTACAGAGCAGCTATGCAAATTTACAGAAGCTGTTGGTGCGTGATGAACGGGGAAACTTCTTTAAAAAGCTTTAACTTTCTACATAAACAAGATACTGGAAAGATCTTTGAATTTCCATTTTGGCTTCACAGTCTGAATAGCAACAGCCTTCTGCCTGTTCTTCTTGCTGCGTGGGCAGAGTTTATGTGGCATGCCTCTAAATTACAGACCACTTGTATGCATGGGTATAATCAAATTATCGATCTACTGTGGTAAACCACCCTGAGATGCTACCTTGAGACCGTGAGAACATGAACAAGAAGCATCTCCAGAAAACATTACAACGACCATGAAAGTCATTCATTCAAGAATAATGTAATTAGAGATTTAGGAGAGTGGAAATGGATTTGATTTGAAGCAATGGAAAGGTGACAACATTTTATTCTATTCTTAATGTTTCTATTCCTATAGATTGTATAAAACATACTTCTGGATGTTTTAATCAGTTAGACGATGTTTCTGTTTAAATTAAGAGTATTAAGATATTAGATGTAAGCATGTTTTTCTGGTGCAGAGGACAAGGATTATACCAAGAAACTGGACAATAAGAATTATCAAACCATTATATTGTGGTAAAGGAGTTAACATCTGTACAGACAACTAAAAAGTAATTACACTCCTTAGTTGTATCAGAAAAGGATTTACTTCCGTATTTAAAAAGTGTGTGACTTCTTATTTAACTAAATGGGTTTCCTTGGCGACGACCAAGTAGGTTTTAAGGCAGGTTATTAAACATTAGATCACATGTTTGCTGTACATAATTTAATTAACTTCTATTTGTAGTCTAAGATCTGACTGTCTGACACAGATGACACTGTGGTATTGGTGGTGTCAGAAACAGAGCTTGAGAAGACTTTAGATGCAGTAGTGCTGACTGAAAACTAGATCCAAATATTAATACTAATACAAACATTATAATTTCTGATAGAGGTGAATTATGAAAATCCCATTTAAATCTAACTCGGGTCCCCCGCCCGGTGCAGGTGTGAATGCAAAAATCACACTCAGGCGCAGACCAAAACAGCCGTACCAAGACCTTTTGGAGGAGCCGGTTTCAGTACGGTTCCAGAGCAGTTCATTTATGGTGTTAAAATTATCTGACCCTGAACCAAACCAACTACAAGGTGCACATTGCCTTACTTTAGTGTGAGCTACAGAAAATGTCTTGTATGCTTTGTATTCTCAATGAGGGGAGGTACAGATATAGATGCACAAAGGTCTGTAAGGCCTAAAAACCAGCCATGAAATGAATGTAAATTCTCAAGTTTCTCATTTTGTTGCTCTGCCTCAAACAGATCTGGCCAGTGAGCAGACTGAACATTCTCAGGTGGTTTGTAGTGACACATTTTTTTGCTGTGAAAACCAGATAAACCACATGGAAAAGCTACAAGTTTACAGACTCAGCAACTGATTCGGACCAGACTAAACGAACTACAGGTTTTAAAATGCTCTTAAAAATATGGAAATTCTGTATCATAGTGGAAGATTGCGTTTATCTTGTTAAAACATTTCGTTTTTATATGCGAAAGGTTATTAAAAAGTGGCGCAGGCTAGCAAAGCACTTAATAGGTGAGTGTCATCATTTGCTTGAATGTAGTTATTTTAAGTTGCAAAGATAGAAACAGCTGCCCGTGTACTGTTACTGTTACTTTGAAATATGCATGAGGTAGAAAAGTTGTAGAATTTAAAGAAACAGCACCAAACTGCAAAATTCTGTAAAGAATTATATCCACATCTGGGCGTCTGTAATTTGATATATTCATTTGTTTTCTTTCTGGGGTGTAAATGACCTCCTGCCTTTTCTGTGTATGTTTTCTCTTTTACATCAGAAAGGATCTAATGAGAATAAACAGAACCATTTAAATCTACAGGTTACAGCTCAGTTTTGATTGCACATGACTAATTTTAGTCTAGACACAGTTTTGACTGAAATGCTTCTATGCTTGTTTTCATTTCTGACTTCATTATGATTTTTTTAACTCCTTAAATTCTCACAGCGCAGTTTGTGTTGCTCTTCTAGACCACATGTACAAGATAAATATAGCAAACAGGCATGAAAACTGAAACCATTAAGAAAGTCCCTTTATCCTGCATTTTTTCTAATGGCCAGTAGTTCCAGTGGCATGTTCCAAAACGAAGTCTGATTATACAGGAACCAGTGGGAAAATAATCTCCTTTGACCTATGACCTCAATAAACAATTTTGTGATAAATGTATGTGAATTTAAATCTTACTGAATGTAGCATAATATTCATTTTACCAAAAGACATTAGGGTGGTAATAATATGTTAATGACATGGCACTTGCACACAAGTGTCCTTTGCTTTCTCGGACAGATTTAATAAATTGCATTTTTTGTGAATCCCTATACATTTGTATGCTACCTGAATCCAGCATTTCAATGGAGGACCAATATAGTCTTGATTGTAAACTGAACTAACACTGCAGAAAATCAATCCAAAGTATTTTGGCTGATGTTTTTCAGCTGTAAAGTCTTCTTCCAGGTCATCCTCCTGCTTTGTCTATTTTTATTATGTGTTTTGGAACTTTTGACTGTAACCAAAGTTATGAATGAAGTTCAAGCTCCACTTTCAGGCCAACAGCTGCCAACCACCAAGTGTAGTTGCCCTATTTTTCCACAACACATGCACCTCCTCTAGCCTGCCTCTTAGTTCCTGTGGGTTAGACAGCTCTTCCTCTCCGGCTGGCTCACTTTTCTTTCTATTAGGATCCATGTCCGAATGATGTCAGATCCATGCAGTTGGCTTCTACTGCTCTCCTGGGTCATGTTGTCTCGCATAATGATTGGGATCTAACCTGTGACACTCAAAGTGAGGCACAAATACCCCTGTACAAGAAGTCGAGGTCAGCCAGGTTTCTAGAATATGACTTTAGCAGCAATCCCCAAAAAACTGTGTAAAGCTGCTGTGGAGACAGTCCTAGCTTTATGAAATGCTATTAGTATTTACTCTAGTGGTCAAGAATTAAGCCCCAAGGACTGTTTAATTTCATGGGCTTGTGTAACCTGTTAGAACCATTTAAACTCTACAAAAGTCTCTGTAACTGTGGCCATCATTAGCAGCAGCTGCTGCCTGTAAGAAACAGAGGTGTTTTACTGCAGCAAAGCTGGATGCAGTTGGCCCCTGGGGAGCCTTAATTACCACGGTGCCACTATATCAATAAATAAAAAAGAAAAGAGGTTCCTGAGGGTAAACAAAAGGGAGTCTGCTCTCCACTGAGTTTACTCAACCATGACATATGGAATTTCAATACATAAAGCAACAGGGAATATGCTTTTGTTTTAAATCTTTTACATGGCTCAATTTCTTTTAATAAAAAAAGTTGATATATCACCAGAAAATAGGTGCAATGGAGGTTCAATTAAAGACAGTCAGAGTCCTTGCTTAGATTCAGTGTTTGCTTTAATATTTCACTAAAAACAGCTGCTGCTTGCTTTGTCAGCCATCATCAGAGCTGACACACACAGGAAACTACAACAGGAACTTCACGGCATTGTACAAAAACACACAGGCACAGAAATGACAAGCCTCCCTCTACACTTCTGTCCTTAAGTTTCTGTTTTTGCTTTGTTTTTTGTTTGTTTGTTTTTTAAAAAAGAAAGAAAGAAAACAGGAAGTACAGGGCACATTTTGATTGGAACAGAAATAAAACAATTAACACAGAATAAGAAGGAGATTCAGCGATGTGATTTGGTTTCTCTTTCAGTCAGTGGAGGGAGAATGAAAAGATGAAATGGTAGTATAATGGGAGGAACAAGACTTTCTTCCAGGTGGATTTCATCCGCTGTCTTTAGCTTACATCTCATGAAATGATGGATGGATAAAAGAAAAAGATGGGCTTGTTTTTCATTAACCTGTTTTTTCTGCTTTTGAAGTCTTGTTCATGGCGGCCCATTGCTCACTAAACCGTAACATAGATCTTGGCCACACCACAAATGCACATTTTCACAGTTTATATTGGTTTTATTTGGCGTTTTAAATTTATATTCTTCCAGTTTATCACTAAAAATTTATGATTAAAACTAATGTTCTTAGTCTGGATACTGAAACTATTACATACAGACATCACATTTAGAGCTATGAGGTTTGTAGCAAATCAAAAGCTAATTGTCACCAAACACTCAATGGACTGGTGCTGGATCTTATTCATAAGCCTACTACTGGTTCTGGACCATGCTACAGGTCTTAGTATGCCATCATCGATGCTTGATATTTATTCAGATTGATGAATACCATGGTATCTCCAGACTCTTTCACGTTTGTCACATGTGCTCAGTGTGAACGAGCTGAATGACGATTGAGGTGAACGGTGCTAGGGTCTGAGCACAGCTCCCTCATAGAGTCTGTTTCAGACTGTTTAGTTAGATACGTGCGCTTGAGTAAACTTCCTGGAGTAAACAAAAATGCCCCGATGCACAAAACTGGGCCTGCTGCTGGGTTGATGACCTTCTTCAACCCTATCCAACTCATAATTACAGCTCAATGCAAATGTCCACATCACAGATTCATGGATATTGAGGGGCATTACACACATCCCTGGCATCAACAGTGTCAACCAAACAACATCGCTGAAAGAGCAACATGGCAGTTTGTGCACTTTGATGTAAAGTTCATCATAAAAGTTGGTAACAGTCCTCTGTTAGCTTGCCTTGTGAAGACTGGTTGTTGTTCCTACACCAACTGCACCAGAAAAAAATGCACATATGTCTTGCTTAAATTTACCCACAGTTCAAAGTGCAATGACGTTAACTATAAGGTTACTGAAAAACAGCAAGTATGGGAGAAGCAACCATGTTTTCCCTTTGTTCACTCTTTAAGACAAAAGCCTATAAGATGTTCCAGTGAGAGAGTTGGTCCTTTAAGTTCTTGGCTCTAAAGAAATTAAAAATAACCTTAGCTTTCAAGGACTCCTCAGACAGGTGAACACTGTGAGAGGTCAGTCCTTGTAGGGCTTGGGGTGGATATTGGTATTAAACCTGCCATTTAAATGGATGACTGTGCTGTGTGAGAACATCACCCAAAGATAAGTTGTTTGGCAAAAACTTTCAGCTACAAAAATACTATCTAACTAACACTATTCTAAGTGTGGACTAAGTGTGTAGTACTTGACAACAGGTTGGCCGAGTTGGATATTTTTTTGTTTTTGTCTCTTTTAAGCCCAAAGATTCCACAGATATCTGAGACATAGATACAAAAGAAAAACTTTAGCAGATATATTTGACCTTATGAAGCATGGCTGAATAAACCCATATGGGTTAAGCTGGTCCTTAAGAGCACATCCTCCACTTGTCCCCTTCAGCATTGCTCTTGTGGATTAAAAGTAGCAGTCATGCCACATTATGGTAATAAAACTGTGCATGACATACTTGTAATGCTTTAAACTGACATTTTGACTCAAGTTCCCAGTAGAAATGCTGTGATTCTACATTAGGCATCGAGATATGGGTGTTTTTAAATTTTAACATTAATAATTGCTTTGGGTTGCATTAGAGGATCTTTTCGATGATTTAAAGGCAGTGATGACATTTTAAGAAATGAATAACAATTTATTAATGTTTATTAAGCAATAATAACCCATTATCTTCAACTAACAGGCATAAATAAAATCCAACTTTTTTTATCTTGGAGAAAGCTATCTCCCCAAAACACCACTTCAACCCCAAGTGTTGAGAAATTAGAAAGTTCTTTAGAGCATATAGAACACAGAGTGCTAGGAGCTGAAAATATTTCAACTTTGAGCAACTTCAAAAGGACCTTCAGTGCTGTTTCGTAGCAACCAGCACGACACAAACCATTTCGGCTGAACTTAACTCCATCTATCCCAGCATCTGCAGAACAAAACAGCTGCCCCCTCTGCACCCTGAACGCCTTTTCAGGAGAGTGTCGCAGAGCTGAAAGGCAAAATATCTGAAGCACGTTTGATTTAATCTCCAAATTTATTTACTTTGAACAGTTTGGAATTCTTACTTTGGCGGCAGTCGATAAAATCATGCTGATATGAATCCAACCCAATAAATATGGAGTATAAATCAAATAATATTTCTTCTAGTTTGTTTTTCAGGGTAAAAGTCATTTTATAGTTTAGGTGTCTGAAATAAACCTAGAGTATTATATTAAACATTATTTTTCTCATGTTTATCATTGGTGTGGTGAAACAAATCTGCGCGCCCTGAATAACTCATGTTTATTTAAGCTCAAACACACAAAAAAGGCTAAAATATGTCAAAGAAAAAGGAAATGATCAAAAATGACAATTACAATCATTCTGTACATGATGAGACTGCTGTACAAAAGCGTTTACCCTGTTTATGTGTACTGTACATCTACTGATTTACAGTAAGCAGACAAAATGCTTGCCTCAACATACAAAAGTGGGAATAAAATGAGTCCAGAAATATCCACCTCTGCAGTGAAATATTCAAAAGCAGATAAATCAATACAGCCCTCATTAACAGTAACCTTACAGCGGCCTCCCACTCTTGACTTGTTACTCACATACTACATAAACTCATTGTTTTACAGTTCAGCCCATATACAAAGCAGTTTCAGAATTAAGGGGAAGATGAGAAGGTGGAGGAAGATGGCATGTGGGCTGCTGGCGAAGGCCTGGAGGATCTGGCTTTAGAGAATGAAGTCAGTATGAGGCGGGTCAGGATGAAAAAGCAAATGAACAAATTCAATCACATGAATAAACATCAAAAACATAAAAACTGAAAATAATAAAACAGAAGAATGCTGCAATTTTGAAAACTAAAATTTTTATGAGCTTGTTGGCTTCCTTGCAGAGAATTTGATGAGAGGATCAGCATCACTGTATCTGTCCATTCTCAGCTGGAGCTCAGCTCAAACGGGGAAACCAGCTAGCCTTGGTTGCTTTAAAGTTCAAAAATGTGATAGCTTTTTTAATATATCCAAAGTTCTCGAATTACAGAAAAATATTTTCTGATTATTTTTTGAAGAAGAACAAATGAAAAAAAGAAGAAAAAATATCAATAGAAAATATCAAGCTGTGATTTATTTATTTTTAAACAGGCAGAGATGTAGAAAGCTAGCCAATCAGCTAATTTGAGGAAAAAAATGTAAAATTTTGAATATTCATTAACTATTAAAATCAAGTTAACTTTAAAGTTAACAAATATGCCCTAACAGGTAAGCTCTATATTGGTACGTCTTGATGTTCAAATGTTTTATTTTTTAGAGCTTCATTTTGAAAGCTAACCTGCTAGCTAGTTACACGGACACAAGAGGAAAGCGTTAGCCTAGCTAACTTCAAAGTGAAGTTCTGATGCTCTAAAGCTAGTGCAACGTGTTTTTCTTGCAAAGATATCCCTTCTCTATAGCTTCAAGACGGATAAGAAGGTGATGCTGAACTTCTCATCCAATTGCCTGAAGCGAAGCTAAATTATTCTTCCAAATGCTCATCATTTTCATTTAAATTAATACCAATTCAAGGTCTTAATTTCTTCATTAAATTGCTTATACCAATTCTCTGTCAATTATGAGTTAATTGGCAATCCTAAGTGACAGCTTTAGATTGTTTTTGTGTGCAAACAACAGGCCAAAGTACAAGAGTATTTATCGTACAGTTATATAAGACAGAAAAACCTGATATATGAGAGGCTGGAACCAATGACAATCAATTCATTTAACATTGTTTATTTCTTAAAGCCCTAATAACACGACTCTGTACTACCTGTGTTTGTATTTCAGCTGGTATGTATGAACATTACAATCCATATTTTTGACAACGCAGCCTTTACTAACTATGTGGAACTATCATCACAGCAACAGTTTGTTCTGCACAGGTTGTGTTTTTGACAAAAAAAAAAAAAAGAAGAAAAAAGAAAGTTGATTTTAGCTCCTCAGAATATTCAGGCTGGAGGAGGCAGAAGAAAATCCTGCACAGTTAATTCCTGCAACATCAGGGAACGGTGAGCGGCCAAGTCCGGACTCCCTGTACTGCAGCACCAGCTGGAGACATCGCACTCGGAGCGGGCATTCATCTAAACAACTTTATGATGATGCATTTCTACAAACCACAGACTAAACGGGCAATCCAACCACAGCGAGTGTGAGTGTCAGCACAGCTTCCAGCCAAAAACAAATCGGCGGGCCAGAAACGTATCTGGAGGGATTCCCAAAGCGTTCTTTCAGGAAAAATGGAAGGAATGGAGAAAGGTGGGTGTTTCAACGCCAGCAGAGTGCTGTCCAATGAGAGGAGAGTGAAGATTTAAATGCATATTTCCATTTCAAGGATTAAAAAAACTCCACAACATTAGACCAGTTTGTGGCTCTCCTTCCTGCCCTCTTCTTCTTTATCATCATCATCACTGTCTCTCTACACTGCACTGTAGTTTCCTTTAATGCCCTCGATGTGAGTTTAGTTCCCTCTCCTTAACAGAGTCCCACCCTGAGGAGAGGCAGGGCTGGTGGGAGGGAATCCTGAGGGGGTCCGCAGCGGCCTCCCTCAGCCGCAGGAAATAACAGTGAAGCGTTTGGAGATGCAGGACATGTTGTGCAGCACGATGCCCAGGAGAAAGAGCAGCACACACGCCACCAGGATCACTGTGCACACTCCAGACCATGTGGAGCCCTTTCCTGCTCCTCCCACTGGACCAGTAACCCTCCTCTCTCCCTCACTTCCCTCCAAACCTACACCGTCTAGACCCATAGCCAGACCCAGTGGCTGCTCCTCGGGCACAGTCACCACTGTCACCCCCTTCTGCTGGCTGCCGGGCAAGAAGCGACATCCCAGCTCCCCAGGCAGGCCCAGTGCCCGGTCTTTAGCGATGGGAAGCATGTAGCAGCCATTGCTGGGGAGGCGAATAAAGACAGGCGTGTGCTCAGAGGTGTGAGGGATGGCGATGACGGTGATGATGTCTGGGTCATCCGGGAGGTGAGACACGGACAGGCCCGGGGGGAGCTTGGTGACGCCACGACACCATGGGCAGCGGATCTCTTTCTGGCTGCTACGCATTTGGGTCAAACACACCGAACAGCATGTGTGTCGGCAATCCAGGAGTTTGGGTCGCCGTCGGGGGCTGTAGTAGTTAAAGCAGATCTGACACTCGAGCATCGAATCCTGGGAAAGAGTCTCCATTTCCAGGAAAAAAGGTATTTTCACAAGAGGGAAAACACAATTTAATTGGCTCTAGAAGAAACGCAGGGGGGGGGGGAAGCAGAGCTGGTTTCGTTCACAACTTCACAGTGGTATTACGGCCCTTTGGGGGCAACATGGCCCTTCATCTGCAACAGAAAGAAAAAAAGGAAAAAAAACAACATCAATAAGAATTCAAGGTTTTGTACGCACATTGCAGAACTATCTACTGAGGATCTCTTCTTTTTGATATTCATCATTTGATATCAAGAGTCTGCAGCATCAGCAGGAACTACAACACTTCTAACTCTGGAGAGAAAAAGGACACAGTGCAGCTGCTGTTTGCTTAAAGTCTTTTCACCAAAAACTCATCTCTCGGTAGCTTGCTCATCATTGAATACTCAAACATCGGCTCCAATATTTACCATTTCTCTGATGCAGAAAAGTTTTGTTTTTTGTGCCCAAACCCAAGCTTTCATGACTGCACCGGTGCTTTTGCCTGCAGTTACTGCGGCTTTTAGAAACCGTGCTGCTGAGCTGAGCGGTGTGTGTTTGACCTTTTGAAACAGCAACTAAAAGGTCAACTGACTCACTTGTTCCCAAGCTTTAATCAGCACAGGAAGTAGGTTAAATTTCCATCAGACACCTCTACAGCTTGACCATCTTTTTTTTATAAAACATCAATTCATTGTTGTAAAATATGAGTGTGCAGGCTGGCTATTTTTACCTGTACAGAAGTTAGAAAGTGGTTACCAGTGATGGTAACATAGGCTGTATATAAAAATGGACATGTCACCTTGATAGTGTCTATTGGTTTGAAGGTTTGGCATTTTGGAGTTCGACATCAAGTTTTGTTTTAATGACAAGTTAGGAGTGGATCTGGTTGCGAGAGTGCAGCAGACTCATATTCTAGAAACTTGTCAGTCAAGCATGTAGTGCTTTATCATCTACTTTAAAACTAATAACTGAGAGCATAAACACATGAGACCAGTATTTATAAAAGTTAAGTTGTTGCAAAAGTGGCAAAGATTTTTTGTTCAGAGACTGTCTGCAAAGTGCAACACTAGAAAAACAGATCCTGTTAAACATCAAATTTAGAGACCAGTCCCAGAGTCACACAGGCCTACTGACTGGTCAGTGACTGACTGGTCAGTGACTGGCAATCTGATAGAGACCAATGCAACTGCGATGAGGTTTCCGATGTAGCACCATATTGACCACTAACCACACGATTTGTCTGTAATTTGGGATGTGTGACGTGATAATGTAGAACAAGTGAATAAGGCCCAAGAACTGGAGACTAGACAACCATATCCATGCAGCCTGTCACCAAGGAAAAATATGTATTTCCCAACTGGCTGGCAAAAGAAAACCTCGTTCTGATTGCTTTGATTTCTAGCGTGTGGCTGCAGACGAAGATTGAGTCACGTTTTTGGCTACAAACACTATTCAGCTACTCTAAGCACTAGTGAAACACACACTTAAAAATTGTATTTGCTTAATTAGTATTTTCGGAGAAACATGAAAGACTGCAAACGACCATGGCAATTAGCCACAGCAAACACTGAGGTTTTTGATGCAATACTTTCTTTGCAAATTTCCCCCAGCAATGTCCAGAATGACTTTTTTCCCTAACAACTACTGGTTACCAGGGAAAACAAGAACCTTTCCCTGATATAATAACAGCAAAGGCAAGAGGCCTTTTTTCTAAACAGTTATATCATGTCATGTTATGACCTACATGTTAGCATTCAAAATGTATTGATTTAATGTGTATTAAATACAGTAATGTGACCTTCATAGGGACTATAGGTTTGAAATCGCAGTTTTGCAAAAATCAGACTTTTTGACACTCAAAACTTATTATAATCTCACGGATGAAGTTAAAATATTGCTTTTATATGTGATTAGTGTTGCTAATGATAAGAGCCATCTTTCATGGCGGTTTAACATCCACATGCCTGTGCTGAATGTGATTATGCGTTGCTCCAGTAAGCGGTTATATATCAGCTTACTCTTCAGTTTCTCGGTCAAAGTAATGCAGAACCGTACTGGACTTTTCACTTTTCTTGGTTACAACTTCCTGTCCCATTAATTAAAAATATGTTTAAATATGATTGGCTCCGATGATTTCAGATATCGAAGCAACTTTAACTAATAAATAAAAAACATCCAACTTCTTCCTAAATGTTCAATGTCTGTTTAATCTATTTAAAAGTATTAATCTGCTGGATCTAATTTTGAGGAGGTTTGACAGCGCCACGTGCCGTTAAAAATTAACAACCTCCTATCTCATAATTGTCTGTAAACCATGCATGCATTGTGGTTCAGCTAATGAGTACCTCCTGTTCTGGATTTTGCATTCATGTTGACAAAACAAATTGGTTTTGTGCAATCTGCTTGCTACTGCAGCAAAAACAAAATCACAAGGAGAATTAACCAAATGCCATCGTTTGCTGCTCTTATTGGACCTTCAAACTGTGCGGCTGCTGCTTTGTATTAGAGGAGCTTTCAGAACTTGCAAAGATGCTATAAGAGTCATGTCAAATCACTAAATGCAACATGAGTCAGCAAGAGGAACAGATGTGACTTATGCACAGATAAGAGGCCTAGAAGAAGGGAAGGTACAAGGGTAGTGGTCAAAATACAACAATGCATCATGAAGGATGAGGAGTCGTGATATGCAACAGACACTCTACACATTAGCCGGCAGTGGACTGCAGAAGAGGCAAGTTCACAAGACTCGTCGTCGGTATCTTTGTTAACCACGGCTAATTCTTTTCTCCTTCAGGCCACAAACTCCATAAACAGTTTCTTCCTCCTCCTCCTGCATAATCACGTCTCTACCGTGTTAATCCATGCGGAAGCTGTGATAGTTTGCTTTTGCAGATGATTAAACCCTGTCAAAATAGCACCAAGGAAACAATGAATACCAAACAGGGCGCTGCCGACTTTATATTTTATTTTCTCGCTCAAATTGTCAAGTGTGAAAACTGCTGAGGAGGGAAGGGTACATCTATCTTTCTCTATGCTGCCATCTCGGCGCCGTCGGCGTCCGTCCGGGCATGACTGTGGGCCGACGTCGAGGACGAAAAGGGTGGGTGGGGGTCGGCAAAATAAAGTGTTGACAGAAATGGGGAAAAAGGTGACCACTGATTGCCCTGCAACACTGCGCATCTTACACTGTTATCAAAAACAAGATCTTAGGCAATTAAACTCATCCTCTGGCCCTGTGGGGACACTGATGTAGCAGTGACAGATAAGAATGAGTTCACACTAAGCATGCTTGGAGCGCTATATTCAGTCTTCTTTTAGTTTGGTTCACTTGAGTGAAAACAGATGATCACATTCGACCTTGAGTGGCATTAAACAACCACAACAAAAAAAAAGGACAGGCTGGTCTGTTTGAAATAATTTCACTGACTGAGTCATCAATATATGCTGTAAGAAAAGCGTAGCCTAAGCACCCTCATGCATAATCACATCCTGCAGCTCTTCCTGGGGGATCCTGCATAGCCAGATGGGAAGCCTAATCCCTCCAGTGTATTCAAGGTTCGCCCTGGGGTTTCCTCCAAATTGCCCTAACCAGAACACCTCCTTAGGGATGCATGCAAGAGGAATCCTGATCAGAGGGCTGAGCCACCTAAACGAACGCTTTCCAGAATAAAGAAGCAACAAAACCCTTCCCTGATTTGCAAGACCGTTAACCTCTTTTCTGAATACTGATTCTATTTAGCTTTAATTTTTAGGGATTCGCCAGTATAGCAATTTGATAGAAGATGGTGAATTCCATGCGCAGATATTTTGAAGGTGAATGTTCTGCACTTTTTTCAGTTTCACTACCACTCAGCAACTAGTCGGCAAGCTTTACATGCAAACAACAGGTGACTGCAGCAATCTGTTAGCGACGTTTTTTGCTGCACACTCTTTACTACTGATTTCACCTAATTGCAGCAAGCAACCATTCACCAACCAGTCAAAGATTGCATTTGATATCCTAGCATGTGGAGGTTACCATGGGGTCACCAATTGGTCTGTAAAGCGAGAAAGTGAAACCAAAGCAAAACTAAGAAAAAGGGATACAAAGCAAGCTGGAAAAAGAACAATAACTCTAACACATGAACATGTGATATATATTACATGTAATGTTTTAATTGCAGAGTTCGTGAAAGCATCAGGCTGGGCATTTCAGAGGCTAAGACCCAGAAGGTGATGTATTAATGATCATTTGACTAAATAGTAATATCGCAGCTTTATTAGGCAAGTCCAAGTATGTTGGTACAATGTTGCACTTTCCTTCAGAAAGTTATGATGAGATCTTAAGAGAGTCCTGTCGTGGAGCATCTCTAGTGTCTGTAGTCAGCATCCTCCACTCGACCGCCCCGCCTCCCTCCCCTGCCTTCAGCACCAGCACCCCCTAAGGCAAAACTCCCTCTCCAGCTGAGTCTGGAGGCTAGACCCACAATTCCTCCTCCTCCTCACTCTGCACTCCCCAGCTGACCCAGTTTCTCCACACTGAGTCAAAGCTGGGAAAAGGTGCAGAAAATTTCCCCTAGTTCCATGGAAAAGTGAGCAAGAAGAGCAGAGCGAGACAGACAGAAACCTGCCCTTGAGGGGGGGAAAGACAGCCCAGGGTATTACTGAATCCTTCTCCCAAAGATAAGGATTAGCTTTGATCTGACATAAATGCTTTGTGGCTCAATATTCCCATACACCCAGTCGCTCTCCCTCTTTTCTTCCCTCCTGACTGCAAATGCTTTCCTCCTCTGCTTTACATCAGTTCAGGATTTTCACTTTCCAAGTGACTTTTTCGCTCTCCTCCCTTTGGCCTTTTCCTTTCTATGCATTTTGTCAACGCCATTGATGAAAATAAAGTCACATGATATAAAAATACAGCATAGACTTGTAAAATAAGAAAAGTGCACTTTGTTTTAGTTTAATAAAATTGTCAAAAAGACTAATACAATAGCAGGTTTGAATGAATAGCCTGTGCTGTACAGTTGAGTAAGTCATAACCACAAACCCACTCCAAAACCCTGCAACCTGACATCACTCCCTCTGGAAATTTAACTCTCAGGAAATGTTGCATCGACACAACCTGTAACTATTGTGGTTTTTGAGTCCAGTTCTGGCCAACCACAGTGTGTGT